ACCAGCCAGGGCAGCAGTCAGGAGGGAAAGGTTGGAGAATTACTCAGGGCACTGACCTCCCCTTCCATCGATGTGCTCTGCCTCCATTCAGTGCTGGGATGCCTTAAGGTTCTGCTGGACTCCTCACCACCACATAGACACAGAGCAGAGCTGGGACTGCACCTTCCTTCCACTCCTCACTTGGGCAGATCCCAGTTTCAGAGGGCTATCTCCACAGTCTACTCACAGCCTCCAGAGAAGGCCACTACCAGGGGCAGCAATGCAGAGGCTGAGGGCACCTAGGGCACCCCATCTCCAATGGCATAGACAGCTTTGAACTTTCACTCCATGATCTGCTCCCTGCCTTAGAAACGTCTACCACAGGCAGGCTCCAGCTACCCAACATGTTAACTTGATCTCCTACAAGCAGCCAGTGGTGGCCACCACCAGCCTCATCCATGTACTTGATCCAGGCACCCACGGATCAGACACTCCCATGTTTAATGCCCTGCTCTGCAGGGCAAGTCCTGCCCATAGCAGAGTCCTGCCTCCAGAGGTGTTGCCATAGCTAGAAGTATCTCTTTGCTCAGAAGAGCTCCAGGAGTGCTGAGGGCCCCTTGTATCTCATCTCCTACTGCCTGCTCAGAGGCTGGGTTAGAGGCACTCCAAAACAAGCAGTTTTACATCAGAAACAACATAACTTGACTCCATCACATAGGCACTACATGCAGGTCTAAGGACAACAAGACAAGCTGTATCCTTGCCTCTATCCTTGTGTCAAGCCCACCCCTTCCCCCAGGGGACCAGCTCAGCATGCGTGCATCCCAGTCTTGCACATCCTCCAAGGACAAAGGCAGCCCTGGGCCCCATCTTTGATGACTCCCCTTGCCTGACATCACTACTATACAGCAAAAAAGCCTATCCAGAACCACTGCAGGAGAAATACAAGTCCGAGACCAGAAGCATAAAAAAAAAAAAACACACATTAACCCTAAGACTTCAGTTAGGGTTGGCCACAAAAACTATCCTCCCAGCCAGCTATTGCCAGGCAAGGCCATTTCCATCCCTCCCCAAGATCCCAAGTTCCTACACAACTCCCATCCCTCCCAGGCTGCAGATTCCCTTCGTTATGGCTCACAAGAGCTGCGTCCTGCCTGTGATTTCAGGCTGCAAAGAGAAGCCAAGCTCAAGGTAGAAACTGGCTTCGTTTCCAGTAACTGGAGAAGAAAGAGGTGAGATTAGACCAATCATTAAGGTCAGGTCTGTCCCGGTATGCAATCCTGGAATGAAGTGACCGGCAAGTGCTGTTGTCTAACGTGCCCAGTAGAATTTAGTTGTGTGCTTCAGCTATCACATCACTCACCTCCCCCACCGGGTGCCAGGAGTGAGGTCAGAGTGTATTTCTGGTTGCCCTTGAAGGGTTGTGTTTGGGGAGAGACAAGGTTTCTTTTGCACCAAGCGGCAGGTTGTCTCTGCCCCAGCTCAACCAGGCTACTCCCCTCCCACAGGTGGGACCTGGCTGAGCCTGGCTCAGCTGGGAGGAGCTGATGTAAGATGGTGCCATGCTGTGTGCGCCATGTTGTGTGCTGCCAAGTCGGAGATGTGGGTTAGAAAGAACGCCTGGCAATCTCATTCCCCAGGCTCTGGTGGGTGGGTAGCGTGAGGCCCATGCACTGGGTTGCCAAGGAGATATGGGCTACAGAGATGGGCAGAAGCTTGCAAATCCCATGGTGCACCTTGGAGGAGAGATGGTTACCTTACCAGTCTTTCCAGACGTGGCTGCCATCATGCTTAACACTTCTAGGAATGGAGCTGTAGCACAGCCACTCCACTAGCTGTAATAAGGCATCACTAGGGTGTCCCATCTCCAGGGACAGCTCTGAGCTTCAGGGCTAGCCTGCGATGGCATCATGGCTGAAGTTCACTAGGGACATCAAAGGAGGGATTTGAGAGAGGGTGGGAGGAAGGGAAGGCAAATGGGACAATCTTAAAAATCAGTAGAGTCCCCATGGGCTGAAGCTTTTAAATGGGCAGGCTCGGGTCATAGTCATAGCTACATCAGCCTGTTGCCTGGAAGGAGCACTGCCATGATACAGCAACACAGCAGTACCAGGAGTAGCAGTCGTCAGTCTAGTCTGCAAGCAGCCTACCGAGGGCTCCTTGGTAGGCAAACCGAGGCCAGGCCAGCCTCACGCCATCTCCTGCCCCTTGTCACTCACACCAGCCCTCCAAGCAGCTCTTGCTTGGAGGTCGCACGAGCAGATGACAAAAGGCAGCCACCTCCTCTCATGCTCACTACCAGACTTGAGCATGGAGCAGCGAGAGGATGAGCATCCAGGTACTTGAAGCTTAAATCCTTTGCTACAAGCTCTCAGCTCAGCTACTGCCTCTTACTGTGCGCTCTCCCTAGGACTGATGGTTACAGAGCTTCTACGGCTCCAGCCATCCCTCGAACTTCCTCCAGCCAACATTGATCCCAGCAGGATGAGGAGCTGCTGCCCTCGAGTACAGTACACATCCCCCATGCCACTGTAGCGAGGTGAGCAGGCCCCTAAAAGCAAGGGCAGAGGGCTCAGCACACCAAAACCAAGGTTAAAGCTTTTAGCCCAGTTCATGAACAAAAGTCAGCTCACTGACTCACTCCACCCTGCCTCAGCTCTGCAAGGGAAAGGACTCCAGCCTACAGATCAGGCAGCTCAAAACTGCCAGCCTGAGTAATGTTTAACTCCATAAAATTTTATGGGTAACATATACCACGCCAGAACGTCTCCCTGAGAGGTCACCGCCAGCTCAAGTACAGCACGGTGAGGAGCAGCTGTAACTGCTCAGCCAGCCTGGCTGCTCTTCTTCAGGAGAGCACTAGGTCCAGCCATGGCCACAGTCTGGAGGGGCTACTCTGGCTCCCTAGGGCCATGGGGCACATCACTTGTTAAAGACTGTTCAGGCCTCAGGATCTCTCTTCAGGCCAGAAGATCTAGATAGTAAAGCTGTCTGTCCTGAATGAGTAACCTGTCAGCTGGATAGCAGGAACTAAAACCCAGATCCCAAGGGGAGAAGATCTGTCTGAAGGCCTCCTTGATACCTCACCATTTCAGTAAAGCAGGACTGTTCCTTCCCCACCATACTCCATAAAGTCTCTGGTAAGGGTCTAACCCTCGCACTCAGGGTCTCTGCATGACATGATCATCCTTGAAGGATCCACAGTAATGGCTTCACCTCCCTCAACTATCTCAGCCAGTCCAGAAAGGGCTTTTCCAGCCCTTTCTGACTGCGGCAATTCAACCACCAACAGCCCCCTTAGCTCTGCTGTCCCACACGAAGGGGCAGGGAAGGAAAGACAGAAGAAAAGCCTGCTCTCCTGGGCTACCCTGGAACAGAGCATACACAGAGGTGCTCCAGTAGCCACAGGCACCATTGATAACTGTTAGACAAGGCCAGCAAGCACAACTCTTCACTAGGTGTTGGCCACTCCCAGCTGAAGGACCAGCTTACCTGGAAGAGCAGTCTGGCACTGGAGGCCCTTGGAACAGCAAGCCAGTACCTGGTCCTGCCCTGGGCCCCACATACTTCTCACCTACCCTGTAGGAGCTTCAGCCCAACGCTAGCTCACTGGCAGAAGGACAAAAGCAGCAGAGGCCTGCAAGTGAATGAGGGGCAGGACAGACAAGCCTAGGCTGGCCAGCAGTTTGCATCCCCTCCGGTTTCTCCATGTTACATCCAGGAAACATGTTTGGGTTGAAGCCAGATAGTAACACAGTCAAGAGGCTTGCAGGAGCAGGAGGATGCTGACTGAACTGTCAGCCAGGTGGACAAGGTGAGGGGATACAGCTCCTCTTCCTTTCAAGCTAAGCAGGGAAAAGTCAAGCTAAACAAACACCCTGCTTAGCACAATGGACAGAGGAAAGGTTAAACCCTGATGCTCTGTAAACTAAGCCCAGAGTCACCACTGCCCTGGCTCCCCATGACACTATTAAAGGAGCAGAGACCAAATCGTACAGAGCGCAGCTGGTGGATATCACCAAGCAAGGTAGGGACAGGATTGACAAGTTCGCCTATTCCAAGTGCTCCAAACCAAGCATCTTAACCTGGAATTAGGACACATCTCAGTCTGGGCTTTCTCCTTGCGTTTCTGGTTTCAGGGTCTTATGTTCAG